GAGGTGGGGTGAAAGAAGGGAAGACTAATCGTTTGGCTTTGTGATCACATTCTTTGAATCCCAGGATGTTCAGAATGTCAATCTTCATATTTGGGGCAATATTAACACTAAAATGGATCCGAGATTTATCAGCATTAGGAAACTGGATAGACCCAAGAGATAATATATCTAAAATATTCCTAAAGGAAGCAACATCATTTGAATTAGCTCTACACAATATAACTAAGTCATCTGCATACAGAAGTGGAAAATAGCAGGGCTAGTTCTTGAAACTTGATTTTCCCAAAAGCAATTAATCTAGAAAGCAACTCTATACAGACAACAAAAAAGGAAAGGGGATAAGGGGTCTCTCTGATTGATTCTTCTGGATGGTTGAAGATTGTCAAATGGAGAGCCATTGATCAAGAAAGACAATTTGAAAGTTGATATGCATTCTCTTATCCAACCTGTAAACTTTTCGGAGAAATCAAGGAAAGACATAATGTTAAGTAAAAGTTTTCATTCTACCCTATCAAATGCTTTTGCAAGATCCACCTTGATTTCATAAAAGCATTCTTCCCTTTCTTTTTTTATGGATATAGTGCATAATCTCACGAGACACAATGGTATTATCATGTATATTTCGTCCTAAAACAAATGCCATTTGAAACTAAGAGATGAATTTGTCCAGATGAGCCTTGAGCCTATTAGAAGGAATTTTAGAAATTATTTTATAAGTTACATTGCAAAGGTTGATTGGTTTGAAGTGATCCACTTTTGAAGCCTTAGGGGTTTTATAACCAAATTGAAAGCATGTAAGAGAGTACCATTTCTGAAAGAAAAAATATGGCACAACAACAATGAATGCATTCTTTGTAGTACTCCAAAAAATTTTATAAAAAAAAATGGACAATCCATCAGGGCCAGAACTTTTATGAGAATTGAAGCAAAAGAAAAGAGGATTTCTTTTATGTAGACTCGAAAAGGCATGTCAATAAGCTCAGTATTATCCACATCATTCATCACTTTATGAAACAAGTTGTTTAGGTGAGGACTGAGGAGGGTAAGGGGGGAGAGGAGGGTCCAAATCTGACTTGAACATTAGAATGGAAGTCCAAAAAATATTGACCAATATTCTTCCTGTCAGCAAAAACAGTGTTGTTTAGGTTCTTAATGGATGATTTTATGTTGGCTCTTGAGTGAATGATTGTAGAAAGGTGGAAATACCTTGTCTTTGCATCCCCGTCTTTCAGCCACTTATCTTTAGATTTTTGCCACAAAAAAGTTTCAATTCTACTAACCCAAAGGTCCAGCTCAGTTTGGAGAGCTTCATCAAGGACAATATTCTTAGCATTGAGATCATTCTTCAGTAGTTTATCAATTTGAAAGGTGATGTCTGCAATCTTTGTATGGTAGTTGCCAAAGTGTGAATAGTTCTAGTCTTTCAAGGCTTTTTTAACATTGTTTTATTTTGGAATGGAGTTGAATAGGGAGAGTACCATACACTGTTTTATTCCATCCCTTATATACTGTGGTATTACATGTTTCATCAGAGATCCACATAGCTTCTAATCTAAAAGGTTTAGGATTGTTTTCAGTGGTGGAGGTGGTGAGCAAAAGGGGGTTATGGTTAGAGGCAATTGCATGAAGGCGGAGGATATTTGAGTGAGGAAAAAATGTGCATCGTAGAGGATTTGCCATTCCTTTATCAATTCTTTGCTGAATATTAGAAATCCCTTTTCTTTTGTTAGTCTTGGTGTAGGGACGGCCATGAAAGCCGAGGTTAATATTGTCGAGATTTGAAAGCAAATCATTTTTAGAAGAGGAAGATAGTGATTGCCACCTTTTTTTTTAAATTGGAATATAACTGTATTGAAATCTCCCATTATACGTATATGAGTAATGGACCTTCAAATGAGATAGATATAGAGTTAAGGGAAATTCAAAAAGCAGTTTTTCCCATGCTATGACTGATGCAGGCCGAAGCCCACAACGGAAAAAAGATAGAAAACGATAGGTGATCGGGAATCACTCAACCGGCGGCAGCGGACTCACTCGACGCTACTAATCACGGAATCGCTCAACGCGACCAAGTCACTCACTTGTATAAAGAGGAATCACTCACTCTCAATGCAATTAACTTGCAATATATTTTTAAACTTGAACAATCATCTCCCATTTTATTCATCTAAAGGGTGTTTATATAGGAGTTTTGGAACATCCCTACAAAATATAGGAAATTACAAAGCTTGAATGACTTATCATCTTCCAATTCTAGAAAATAAATAAACTTGACCTTGACTCATGAAATACATAGAATATGAGATACATAGAATATGACATGATTATAATTGATAAAAAGATGAACAATTCGAAATTAGACTAATAAAATAAATAAAACACTTAGAAATACCAAAAGACACAAAGCTGTTAATTTTCCCGATTGCATCTGACAGGCTCTAGAAAACTGAGCATAACTTATTCACCCGACCTTTGTTTTGTAAGCCGTTTTTTGTTGGAAACTAGACTTCCGTAGCTTGTTAACCATATATAGCAACAAATCTAACTCCTCAGAAATTTAAACTGGTGATTTTTTCAAAGTTGACTGATCTGCAAACACAATTTCTGCATGAATGACAAGGGCAAGAAATCCTTATAAAGAGCCAAGGGGTAAGGAGAGAGTTATGCAGGATAGAAGCATCTATGAGAGTGGAACTGTAAGAGATGATTTGAACCGTCATGGAAGGATTCCATGCAAGAAGAAGACCACCAACGATGCCAGTGGGAGAGACAAAGAAAGAGTTGGAGAGAGAGAATGAACGAGGATAGCGCTTTTGAATTGACAGTACTAGAATAAGTTTTAATCTCACCAATTAATTATCCTTAAAAAATATAGGTCGAGAATGAGTTGATTGGTGGGTAAAACTGGCCCTATATAGCCCTAGATTTACGAATGTGCATCAAACAATCCATTTGTCTTTGTATCACACGTCCATTCAAATCCTTCAAATCCAGAGAGTATTTTAGATTTGTCGTCGTTTTTTTTTTTTTTTTGTATAATCAGATTTGTGGTCGTTTTCAATACGTGTATCGATTAAAAAAAGAATGAAACCACATAATATAAAACCTGATTACTACATTAATCAATAGTCAATACATAATAAATTAATTGTAGTACTGTTCAATCCATGAATTAAATAATGTTTACTTTGTACAAATTTAAAGCCAATCCAATTAAATATTTACCTTTTTTTTGTTAGTGAGAATCAATGTTCGAAATAATAAAATTTATGAGTAGTAATGGTACAATCAAAGAAATGATAAATAATGTTTTATTAAGTTTCACATATTACATGAAATATTTTTTTTTTCCAACAAAATAGTTAATTTGAAATCCGGAGAGCATATTAAATGGTACTTTATTCGTTCCTAAATATGCATCGTTTTAATTTTCACCTTAGCACAAGTCTTACAAATCTCAAATAAATATGTCTTGATTTAAAAAAAAAATAGATATTGATAAGAATATACTTGTTTGCTAATTAGTATTGGAGAGTTAATAACGTTATAATTGAATAACATGTAATTAATGAAGCATTGTGGCAGATAATACGGAACAAAAGAAAATTCTCAAATATTATGAGAGGGGAAGGCTTGTAATATAAAATCATTCTTTAATTTATTTGAATTTATCCACAACTGTATTAGCATCATTAAGTATCTCTAATTTAGTTTATTCTTCTTTGATACCATGGATTGGTCAATTCATCCAATCTTATCTTATAACTAAATATTTGGTTGTACATTTGACCTGAAACCGTCTGCAAATTAAGTTTGACCAAAGTAATAGTGTTCTTAGACTTTCTAATCAAATTTGTGTGTCCAGCTGTCCAAAATCAGATGAGCCTCTCCCCTAATAAAGTAGTATAATTCTCTTATCTTGATAATGAGAAAATGAATTGGCTTAATCCCACTTTGCACCCTTAAAATATGATTTTTAGGTACTTTGCATTCTCGAAAACTATTAATAGTACTTTGCACCTCCGAAGCACAATTAATCATGCAGTATGCATCCCGAATGAGTTTTTTAAGATAATAAAAAGGCAATATTTTAGTAGTATTGCTTTAGGGTGTCAAATGTCATACCAAATACTCATCAATCATTTAAGCCAATTTTGAAGCTACAAAGTATAAAAGTAAAAATACATCTAATCAACATATTTAAAAATTATATTTTTTTATCACAAAATAATACTTTTTACTGTGAATATTTTTGCCCGCACTTTGTACTCTCGGAATTACGTTGGTGAGTAGAAGAAAATGACAATTTAATTTGTTATTTTGCATCCCGGAAGAAAAAAAATAAATAAAGTTGTTAACATCAAGTTTATAAAATTCAATTCAAGGTGCATTGTAAATGATTTATTGTGTTTCGAGTATGTAGAGTGTTATTAATTTTTTTCGATAGTGCAAATTTTTAAAATGCTACATTTTAAGAATGCACGGGGAATCAAGGATTAAACCAAAATGAATTACAAGCTACTTTTAAAAATTCGTCATTATGCAATTATTTGAATAAAAAAAGATAGAAAATAAATTTATTTTCAATTATTAATAAAACAAATTTTTTTTTAACAAATCGATATAACACAAGTTACTAAATACTATAAATTCAATAATACTTGATGCTACATGATCTTTACTTATATTAACATACCTGAGTTTGGGTAGCACGATTTTTGTTAGGGTATTTTGTTACCAACTTACCATTAACAAATTTTAAGATGACTAGCACGATTTGATGTCCTCAAATTCCTTTAGTCAAACATTATAATTCTTTAGGCAATAAAATAATAAAAGTATTTTGGTCAATAAGAACGAGTTGTCAATAATTGACATTTGCAAAACATATTAGGGCTTATCCCCAAAACAACATTATTCACGACCGACAACATATCCCCTCAACCAACATTATAAATACAAGTGTTAATTAAACCATCAACACTATGAAACAATCTCCATTCACATCAAACATCCTCGTAAGTGAAAAAAAAAATGGCATCCTCTTCTCTTCAAATGTTCCTCACTTGTTTGCTCTTGCTAATCTCGATTATCCACGGCCAGCCGTCGTTCCGACCATCCGCCCTAGTCCTCCCGGTGAGAAAAGACATCTCCACCCAACAATACGTCACCGCAATCAACCAACGAACGCCCCTCGTGCCCGTAAACCTCGTTGTCCATCTCGGCGGCCAGTTCCTCTGGGTTGATTGCGATAACAACTACATCTCGTCCACGTACCGGCCCGTACGTTGCAGATCGGCCCAGTGCTCACTGGCCCGATCCAACTCCTGCGGGGACTGCTTCGACGGGCCGAGGCCCGGTTGCAACAACAACACCTGCGGCGTCTCCCCCGACAACCCCTTCATCCGCACCGCCACAGGCGGCGAGCTGGCCCAGGACGCCGTCTCCGTCCGGTCAACCGACGGGTCGAATCCGGGCCGGTTCACCTCAGTGCCGCAATTCATATTCGCATGCGCGCCTACATTTCTCCTCCAAGGCCTCGCCAGTGGGGCGACAGGCCTAGCGGGCCTCGGGCGAGCCCGAATTGGGTTGCCCTCCCAATTCGCGGCCGCCTTTAGCTTCCATCGGAAATTCGCCATATGTCTCACATCCTCAACTTCGTCCAACGGAGTCATTATTTTCGGAGACGGCCCGTATAGATTCCTCCAGAACACCGATGCATCCGCCTCACTAAGATACACTCCCCTGTTCATAAACCCTGTCAGCACGGCCTCGGCTTTTACCCAGGGAGATCCGTCCGACGAGTACTTCATCCGCGTAAACTCAATCAGAATCAACGACAAACCAATCAGTATCAACACCACATTGCTAATCATCGACAGCGAAGGCAACGGTGGGACGAAAATCAGCACCGTCAATCCTTACACCCTCATGGAAACATCCATCTACAGAGCGTTCAGCGCCGCGTACATTAGAGAGGCCGCCGCCCGGAACATCAGCAGGGTCGCCGGGGTAGCGCCTTTCGACGTGTGTTTTAGCAGCAGCAACGTTTTCGGGACGAGGGTGGGGCCCGCTGTCCCTTACATTGATCTGGTTCTGCAGGGACAGAACGCGGTTTGGACAATAACCGGTTCGAACTCGATGGTTAGGGTAAATGATGACGTGCTGTGCCTCGGGTTCTTGGATGCGGGTTCGAATCCGGTTACTTCGATTGTGATTGGTGGATATCAGATTGAAGACAATCTGCTGCAGTTTGACTTGGCTGCTTCTAGGTTGGGTTTCAGCTCTACGCTATTGGGCAGGCAAACTACGTGTGCTAACTTCAACTTCACCACCAATCCGTAGAGAATTTAATTCGTCTTTTTAATTATAATAATGATCATATATATGTTATTTATATACTTGGAATAATTGGCGGCTATATATATGCTAGTAATTGGTTGATTTATGTATTTGTATACAGTTTGTTTGGCTTTTTGAATAAATGTATTTGATGATTGTACTTTCTAATTCAATTTTCGTAAGGATTTTTGAAATTGAATGTTCATTTTCTTATGTTTTTGAAGTATTGCTAAAATTCATGATGTAATTAATATATATAATTGAGTTTTTATTTACTTGATCGACAGACCTACCCTAATATTTGTAGATCGATAAATAAAGCGGATCGTAATTAGCACAGTGAAAATGTTAATTATTCCAATCATGTTCCAAAAACTTCGGAAAAATCGGAAATCGAATGAAAAAAGGTTGTTCCAAAGCCAGAAGTTCTCGAATCATAATTGGCAGAATAAAAGTTCAGGTTTATAAATTTACATTTAATATATAATATATAATAATATTATAATATCGGAGAATTTATTACAGCATTAAAACCGGATCATAAATTGGAATTTCATATATATATACTAGTACTACACCCGTGCGATGCACGGGGTATTCATCGTAAAACAAATATTAAACAATAAAAAAGGTTCTCGAAATAGTAAGATTAATTGTTGATATGTAATACAAAGAAATATTAAAAAAATATAAGTATTTTGTATTGTGTAAGTGATGAAATAAGGCGAAATAAATGAAAAAACTAAACATCGAAGGTTTTAATTTCCACATATAAAGAGCGAATATATCGTTGGTCCCAAATTTTAACAACCCCAATTACATATGAACGTTCAAATCTTGAATTTGATTCCTTGGTCCCAAATTTTAACAACCCCAATTACATATGAACGTTCAAATCTTGAATTTGATGCAAACAATCGGTGTTATTTTTTTTGATACCAATCGCCCTAAAAGCATGCAACAAATCCAGTACAATGAAACTGACCTGCATTCGTTGTACAATGGTCACACGAGATATGTAAATTGTTACCAAAACAATACCAATATAACTGTTTAATGACATAAAATCATTGTAAAAATATTACCTTCATTAAATATAGTGAGCGGAGTCCACAGCAAGTTCGTAGTACAATTAAAATAAACCTACAAATGAGAAATATTAATAACCTGAAGCCTTGTTCCATTGCACAATCCTCTGGCGTGATCAATATTTCTCATGAGCATAACGGAAACACATTTTTTCAATGTCAACTTATGTGGTGGAATTCCGAAGCATGATATGGTGTTGAGAAACTCCGGAGAATATATTTATGCGTTGACATTCCATAATTACTCCCCCTTGCACATACTATTGGAGCTGAAATAGACCTTCTCCTCTCCAGCTATGATCGATAAAAAATGATCATTCACAAAACCGACACTTTCATTAGTGGGTACAAAAAAGATATATTAGTTGACCCAATTGTTACAATTATCTCATCTGATGCACTCGGATACTTAACATGAAACTTAGTTATCAGAATAGTGTTTTATAGCAGATGCATTGACATCACCTATAACTCATCTAATACCTTGCGAGTAACCTGCTCATTTTTTATTGCTCATATGCGATCAGTGATACGCATTACTGAAACATAAATGGTAACCTAAAAGTGTAAGAAAAAATACAATTTATAATATACTATCTTGATAAAAAGGAACTTCATTAGAGTTGACAATAAGATTGATATAAAGTGCAAAAAGATCTAAGATTGCAAAATTAATTATTCATATTAATAATAAAAAGAAAATGTGTCGTTGAATCGCAATGTACATTTTTTATGATCTAAATTCATATTCGCTTAAAAGCTTCCTTGTAGACAACATTGCAATTAACATCTGAGTCTAGATTCCGACTTGATGAGTATCTTTATGCCACATCTACTCTTAACTCTCGAAATTGCAACGTATCCATGCCACCTCTATTGCTAGTACTAATGCTAACATTAATACTAATACTAATACTAATATTAATACTAATATTAATACTAATACTAATATTAATACTAATACTAATACTAATATTAATACTAATACTAATACTAATACTAATACTAATACTAATACTAATACTAATATTTTTTCTTCATAGCAACATTAATTTGCTTAAGCTTCTTGTCCATTAGTGTAATTTTCTTCAACCAAATCTCTTGTATCGTTCTTAGTATTTTTTTTTTCGACCGATCAATCACGCAAACTACAAAGACAAAGATCCCTTTCTTTTGTAAATTCAGCAGAAATTTTGTAATTTTAGGGATTATTCATGTGTTATATGTCCATTTATTCTCGTAATTTGATGAGAATGGAAATCATTAATTGTGTTGCACTTTGTGGAGAATCGTTTGTTGCTGTTGCTGGGTATGGCTTGTTTTTATGTTCTTGTTTTTTTTTTCTTTTTCTTCCTTTTTTCCGAAAATTTCCGAATTTCCGAAAATTTCCGAAAAATCGGAATCAGTTTTAAGACTCCGAAAAAATCGGAATCGGAATCGGAACTGATTTGGCACTTCCGAAAAAAATCGGAAATTTTCCGAAAAGCTTATATCCGATCCGATCCGTCCGATTTCCACCCCTACCAACAACCTATTATTTTATTCCTAAAATTTTGCCCAACATATTTTTATTCGAATAACTCGGTTCGTGTATCGGGTACTCAAATTTGAATGCCACCCCAAGTTACCAGGACGGGTCCAAGTTCATTAGAGACCTGTCATTTTAGTTTTTTTTTTTTGACGAGCAAAACAAAAGATTTATTAAGCAAGATGAGCAATAGCCGATGGGAATACAACATCTTCACCACCCACGTGACCGAAAACAGAAGCAAGAGCGTGAGCTAACTCATTTCCGGGACGTTTAAGAATTGTAAACGAACAATGATGAAAATTGGAAACTAACGAATAACATTCTTCTATCATCGCTCCAAAGGACAGAGTGTTTGTGTCATGATTTCGGACAGCTTGAATAACACTCTGATAATCACCTTCAAGAATAATGGAGCCACATCCCTTTGTGTTCGCCATTCGAATTTCATGCAAGGTTGCATACGCTTCCCCGTCAACTACGCTTGGTCTGCCCTCAATCCTCGAAACATGCCACCAAACACAGTCCCCACCCTCATCTCTTGCCACCATCGCAATCCCATAGAAATTTTCGCCCGGCGGGAAGTCAGCGTCAATATGAATTTTGATCGAATCAGCAGTTTTTTTTTGTAATGGAATTTGTTAATTACATAGTAATTTTCATTAATTACAGAGTGGTTTTCATTAACTATATAGTAGTTTTCGTTACTTTTAAGTTTTTAGTATTTTTTTGTAATGGAACTTGTTAATTACATAGTGGTTTTTATTAATTATATAGTGATTTTTGTTAATTGATAAGTTTTTAGTGAATTTTTGTAATGGAATTTGCTAATTACATAGTGATTTTCGTTAATTTACAGAGTGGTTTTGTTAATTACCTAGAGATTTTCGATAAATTTATAATGAATTTTCATAACAGTATACTGTAATCACATAGTGGTTTTTGGTAAATTATAGTGAATTTTAATTGGGGCATTTAGCAATAAACCCCTTGGATGAATAATAAATAGTGATATGTCCAACCCTTAAATCTTTCTTTGTGATAACCCCTAAAAATATTAATTCCAATACTACCCTTTTAAAATTATACAATCTCCTACCCAATAATTGCACGTTTCTTGCTTTCCTTAAATAAAGCCAAAATAATAGCGAATTTTTTCCAACTCAATATCTCAATTCCTTAAATTCAGCCAACTAATTAAAGAAGAAAATTAAAAAAAATCAGCACAATATCACATCTCCATAAAATCAGCCAACAAATAAAAAAAATAAAAATAGGCTTGATCACGTACAAATCAAAACCCACTAATTAAAAGCTTTGCAGAGTACAATTTTTTTTATTTTTTTTTTTTATTATTTTTTTTTAATATTTTCTTAAAAGAATTTTAATCAAAAAATTATTTTTTTTCCAGACAAGTGTACTACGTTCAATATGACTATAGTTGAATATGACTATAATCTAATATGATTGTATGTGACTATATCAATTGTAGTCATATTCTTTCTTTATTTTGTCGGTTTTCGCATTTTCAACTTTAAATACTTGATTATATAGTGTAGTACAATCATGTTTACCAAATTATATTAAAAAAACGAAGATCGTCTATTATTTACGAAAAAAATTCAATCAACATCCACAAAAAAAAATCACAATTTTGAATCTTGTTACTGCAAGTCAACTTGTAGCCACACATATACATCGAAAAAACACATGTATCAATTCTTCAACCAACCATCAGCATCATTGTAAATTAGAAAAAAAAACCTACAGATCAATTAACCATGACTGTAGTCATATTAAGTATGTATTTATTCAATAATAGTGTGTCCAATGTGACTCCAATGTGACTACACTCCTAATTGCGCTATGGGTTCCTCAAATCTCGTCGGTGTTGTTTTATTTGCATCAATCCGGTATGGGTTAGTGGTGAGGAGGCGGAGGCAAGAGTGTTTGGGGTATTGATGGGGTTGGGAGGAGGAAAAGCGTAACCCTAGATGGCGGCTGTGGCCGGTGGCTTGCATCTAGAACAAATAAAATGCAATTAAGAAGAAGAATGAATTACATTTGGTAATATTGTCGGGCTCTCTTGAGTACTTCACCTGAGAAACATAAACAAAGTATGAATCTTAAATCATGAGAATAAAACGACGAACAACTTGCAGTTAGCATTTGAAGAATTTTATCAAAGGTTCTCAAATTACATGCCACTGTTGTAACTGAATCAAAGACTAACTGTTCTTCCAACAATCTTCAAAGATTCAAATTACAGAAGAATTTTAAATTACAGAGGTGAATTCGTGTGTTATATATATATATATATATATATATATATATATATATATATATATATATATATATGGAGGAAGGAGCGTGAAAAAAAAAATTGTGAGAGAATGAGAAGAGAGAGATAACGAAAATTTTGTGAGAGAACGAGAGGAGAGAGAGATAACGAAAGAGAGAAATATGGAGATCCTACAATCACGTGAGAGGTTATGGAAAATAAATATTGCAATTATTTTAAAAAACCTACTTATAAGGGTAGTTTCGGCTTATCACATTTGTTGAGGGGGTTTCACTAATTAAGATTGGATTTTGAGTTTATGCAAAAGTCTTAAAAGTCAAATGAGTTTTATTCATAATATTTTCCATTTGAGGGGGGTATTGCATATTTCCCCATTTTAATTTGTTAAAAAAAAAAATTATATAAATTTAACTTTAAAAACAGATGTATAAAAAAACCATTTAAAAAAATTAAAACAGAATGATTAAACTTAAACATAAATAAAATAAAACCCCAATTAATTATATAATTAATGGAAGGAGAAAAAGGCGTGATACAAGAGAGAATAGGGGGATGGTGGGGATTTGCATATCTACCAAAAAAATAATAAATTTTTCAAAATAATATAATATGGTAATTTTTAGTAATATTAAATAAGGATATTTTGGATAATTCAACCTAATTGGTTTATAACAAATATCAATTAAAAAAATTGGATTTATCAAGAAGTCAAAATTGGACGAGTAGTGTTTGACAAATAGCCCCTTTTTTTATTGAGAAAAAATGTTGTAGATCTTATCTACGGAGATATATGTAAAAAGGTTTTTGTGCATAAGTACCTGACCAACCATCTTTATTATTCTAGGTTCATGAGTTATATCTATTTCGACAATGAGCTCATCCCTTTAATATGAATTATAAATAAAGAAAAAATTAATGTATACAACAAAATTACCCCCAATTACACCCAATTTAATCAATTTTGACCAAATTCAATTTTGATTTTTATTTTTAATTTTTTTTTTGAATATTTTTTTGTCGCCGGTTTCCGGCGTTGACTTTTATTAGTGATTTTATTTTTTTCCTAAATTTTTTATACGTTTTTTTTCGCCCGCCGCTAAACGTTCACCGTAATTGTACTGTGATTAACATTAATTATACTGTCGCGAACAGTAATTGTATTGTCGTTGACAGTACATTAACGTAATTGTACCGTCATTGACAGTACATTTATGTAATAATATTGTCGTTGACAGTACAATTACAGTCAACGACAATAATATTGTTGTTGTTGTTGTCGTTGTCGTTGTTGTTAAAACAATCGAAGATGACGAGGGCTAGACATCAGTAGTTGTTGTCTCGTTTCTTTTTAGTCTTTTTTTTCCGTGAACCTAAACAATTTGATATTCGTGTTTTCCAATATTTTATTTATTACGCTTCTTTCGTGTTTACACTAATGAATTTCAAATATTTCGTGCTATTTTTCAAGTATTTTATTACTCAAGAGGTTATTCGTAGGGGTGGAAATCGGACGGAATGGATCGGAAATATCTTTTTCGGAAATTTTCCAATTTTTTTCAGAAATTAAAAATAAGTTCCAATTTCCGTTCCAAAAAAATCGGAATTTCAAAATCCATTCCAATTTCGGAATAACTCAGAATCGGGGAAATTTCGGAATTTTCGGAAATCGCATTAATTCTTATTTTTTGTTCCAAAATCGGACATAATGGTAATTTTTAGAAAAAAAAAATTCCAATATTTTCATAATTTTCCCGCAAAATGCAAAAATCCAAAACAAAGGTCAATAAGATGAAATGTAAACGGTTGTAAAAACAACATAATCAGTTTATCAAAGCATGCTGCTAGTTCTTGCAAAACATGAATAGAAAAACAATTCAAAAATAATATATATATATATATATATATATATATATATATATATATATATATATATATATATATATATATATAATAAATTTCGGAAATAAAATCGGATCGGAAATTGAAATTTCCAATATTTTTATATGTAATTCCAATTCCGTTCCAAAAATAATCGGAAAAATCGGAAATCGGAATATCGGAAATTGAAATGAAAAAAAGGGTTCCAAATTCGGATATTTTTTGATCGGAATTGGCGGAATTCGAAAATTCCATTCCAATTTCCACCCCTAGTTATTCGTTTTTTGCATTATTCTTTGAAATACATATTATATACTATTAGAATTAATTAAGAAAAATAATAATTATATTATCATTATATTATAGGGATTATTTACAAAACCCCCTCATCACAAAAGTCCAATTACAAGAAGCCCAAATTTATTTCTTATTTTTAAGATAAATCCAAAACATCTTTTATTAATAAAAATTAATTAATTATCACAATTATGCCCTTACCTTATCAAAATTAATTAATTATCACAATTATATATGTTAGGGTTGAATATAAATATACGTAATATCTGTTCCATTAATATCACATTCTCAATCTCACCCACAAATCTCGCTCCACAAATCTCACCCTTTTTTTTCTCTCTCATTTTTTTTTCTTTTCTTTTTTCTTTTCTTTTTCACGATCTACTTCTCACCTCTTCTTCTCTTCGGCGCCTCCCTAGCCGCTGCCCAAGCCACCTCCCGGCGCCGCCCCAGCCGCTGCCCGATGCCGCCCCAGCCGCTGCCCGGCGCCGCCCAGCCCCCGGCCGTCGTCGGCCCCAGCCCCCATCTCTATTTTCTCTCTCTTCACCGTTGCCGAACGATATATATGGGTGGTAGAAAAGGGTAAATATTTTATTTTTTCGCTTCAATCATCTTTATTCAATGGTTTTAGGCTTTGTGGGGAAGGTTCCTATTTGATAACGATATTGTGAAAAAGACCATTAATTCTTATAAATTAATTTTTTTCTTGATCAGATTGATACAGTGACCCTCGTCGGCCTTGTTGGTGGTGGTGTACTGATCTTGCATTTTTTCCTGGATATAGTAGTGACTTACGTTTTAAATAGCTGATTTTTGAATAGTGAATATGTTTTTTTTTAGTTGTGTTAGTAGTGGATTTACGTATGTCTTTAGTGGATTTTGATAACTTTGTTGTTGATTATGTTATTATTAAAGTGGATTACGTTAATTTTTCGTAACATAATTGGTCTTGCACTTTTTCTTGGACATAGTAGTGATTTACGTTTCTAATAGTGGTTTACGTTTCAAATAACGAGAAGAAGATGATTACACGGACTATGCTCTAGGGTTCATTGGAGAGAAGATGGTGTCTTTTATAGTGGGTTTATAGCTTCTTTTTCACAGAATTTTGATGTTTTCTTGTTAGAATTCATAGTGGTTTTCGATATTTATATAATTGTGTATATATAGTGGTTTTCATGTTTATATAGTTATTTTATGCATAGTGGTTTTCATGTTTATAGATGTTTTCATAGAGTGGTTTTCAAAATTATAGCGGATTTCGAAGTTTATAGTGGATTACACTAAATCGGTTGGATGTTTTTTTAAATATTAAAATAATAAAAATTAATCGAATTACAAAAATTAATAGAAAAGTAATTAAACAAAATATTTTTTATTCAAGAAAAGTGTGAAAAAAATTAAAAAAAATCATTTAAAAATAAAAACCGAAATTAAGAAAAAAAAACTATTAAAAATGAAAATAAAAATAAAACTATTTTTTTTAAAATTCAATAAAAAAAACATGAAATGTAAACAAGAAAAAAAATAATTTAAATTTAAAAAACCGAAAAAAAAATTACAAAATAAAAGAAAACCATTAAAAAGAAAAGAAAAGAAAAGAAAAAATAGAATTTGAAATCACGTAATGTGGGAGATATTAAAGGGGATTAGCATATTTAAAAAAATTAATTAATTTTCCTTAATAGTAAATGGGGGTATTTTGGATAATTCATGTCAATTGGGTTTATAACAAATATCAATTAATAAAAATGGATTTATCATTAAGTACAAATTGAATGAGAGGTGTTTGTCATATAGAGGTGCTATAAACCCTCATAATTGAAAACAATAACAGATCATAAAGGTGAAAATACAACTAATTGGATTTGTTACTGAGCTCTCTGTTTTTTACCTCCAGATCACTAAAACTGGTTCGAAAATTGAATTGTAACGGGTAGCTGAAAAGGCGTGGAGCGTGTACCCCAAACGGTGGTATGGAAAGAGGTGTCAAACAACCCATGCAACTTAAAAATAAAGTGAAGGTTGTTTCCGACGTTTCATATAGAGCTAGGGAGTTATCTGCATTTTTATGTTTGGTTAGGGACCGACGCACGTGTGAAACATGGACGGGGACTAACCCGCGTTTTGAATTTGGCCTTTGGGGATTTATCTACGGTTACCCCTTTTACCATATTGTCCACCAAACACTTATGCTAAACCATACTATTTAGTATTCACCATACAGTCAATTATAATTACTAACACCAACTTTACAAGATACATATTAAGTAACACACATGCACACACATGCAGTTTTGTAAAATGAGTTTCAAACAAAAAGAAACATCAAAGATGCACAAAACTCACAAGGACAAAACAATGTGTACAGACAGGATTTTTCGTTTCCTGTAGAGTCTTTCTTTCTTCCCTACTCTTCAAAACTTGTCCGATCTTCAGCACCACTTCGGTATCGAAGTCACTGCAATCATGATATACCAATGTAAGAGAATTGAACTCGAAATTAGAAATCAGGTCAAGCATATTAATGAATCATCACCACTCACCGTAATTGTATCTACTGTGAATCAGTTTCTACTGCCGTTTTTGAAGATTGCGTAACCGTAACTTCTGATGCTTCAGTAGTACTGCTCCTAGGAAATAGTTTTTTGACGACTTCATTTCTGCATGTGAAGGATTTCAAGTCGAGGAAAATAGCATCAGAACATTCAAACTCGAGGCTGTTCTCAGTCGAGGCTACGATAACAAGAGGGTCTCCAATAGCTTTGAATGCGCAAGCAACTGCATCTTCATCCGAAATATCATTCTTCCTTCTTCGTCGAATAGCTTCGCAAAATTCCCTCGGCAAATGGTGCCCGATATGAGGCACTCTAAGCATATCGAAAAGAGTATTGAAGGACGACCGCTCCGAGTTCAGACAAGATAAGCACAGAATCATGAATAACCTCAGCATAAGCACTGGCAAATAGTGGTCGTAGTCAATACGAGAACACTCGATCCATTGTGATGTAACCTCAATTTTATGAAGACATTCTATAGCCACATCGGCCACAAAGTTAAATATGCTCGTAGCATCGGATTTCTTGTCCGTCACTAAACCGGAACTCGGATCAGCATCCGGTGAAAGACACATTAAGTATTCAACAAACGAGGATTTTGTAGTGAAGAGGTGGCCTCGAGAGTGCGGAACCAAAATCAAGAGCCTCTCCACAAGATAAAAGAAACATTTCGGAGATATGTAATCATTTGCCCTCCAATTATTTGTCATGTAAGTTTCGACCAATGCTTTATGAAGAAACTCGTGATAAAGAGATTCATCGGACGAACTTTCGGGCTCAGTTTTTCTTCGATAATCGGACTCGATGAATGACTTCCAAGAAGAGTTTCGAGGAAGGCTTGCAATAATCCTCTGATAAATAATTTCATTTCTGGGCTTGCCAGAGCCAAGAATTATCATAACCACATGTCCTATCTGCTTATAAGTGAGTGTACCCCCCCGTGGGCTAATATTTCTAGAAATAATTTCTTCCAATAAATTCTTCGAAAATTCGGTTTCCCTTAAAGATATCATATCATCGGACAATGACCGTCGAGGGTCCAAAGGAAAAACGACTTCAAAGAATTTGGTAGACAGTTGAACAAAGCAACGCAGCTTCCCGGCATTGGCTGACTTTATTATGCCAAGTGATTTTGACTCGATGAACCTTGCTATGTCAAAAACGTGAGTCAATAACGTACTTTGGCAGTAATCGGATGAGTATGGCTTCGTCAAATAACAATTATAAAGAGCTTCAAGAACCTCCAAAACTCGTACTCCGGCGGAAACTATTTCTTGACACCAGTATTCCCGAGCCGCTGACGCAAAATGACGAGCATGAAGAGTTGCCACATTTCCTTTCCACGAAATAAACCTCTTATCGGAATTTCTAATCCATGCAGAATTAGGGTTGAGCAATATATAGGTGCCTTCACTCGAGTTATTCGGCGACCTCACCCCAAAGTAGTTAAAACAGAATCGAATAGCCGTATTATCTTCACATTTCTCAAGCGAGTCGAAGCATTCTAAGATCTCCAAACACTGTACCTTCCATAAGTTCCAAACAAAAACAAGGGTTCCGCCGGAGACTTCATTTCTCACCATTCTTTCTTCGAATAAACTCGGATCAATTTGCAATTCAGGACCCCATTCGTATTTGGCTGGATCGACTGGAAAATGGAAATCTAGAAGCTTTCTAATAGATAGAAGTTCGACCGTACGATATCTGTATTGCTTCGAAGCACTATAACACTGCATCAACTCGGACAAGTTCATCCTATCGCCGGTAGACAAAAAATTGGCCTCGGCACAAATCGATGCATGAAAATTTTCCGAAACCTTTTCTGCAGCTGAAACCGCTTTCGCTAAAAGCTCTTCGTCTTGAGGAAATGATTTTAGAGGCCAACCTTGGCTTCCATACACCCACAGAGAGTTATTCAGTACGTAAGAAATTACGAGCAAAGAAGACTTTTCAAAGTCTCCCGCCTTTTCGAGCAAATCAATCTCGCGTAAAATATGCCCTAATTGTTGTGCAATCTTTACAGCCGCATTGAAATTTCCGGAATCTTCCTCCAATATTAGAAGCTCCTCAAGGCAGCCCCTCGACTTCAAGAAGTTCCGTTTGGATTGCTCCGAAGAGAAAGCGCGAACAAACTTCATCATCGATTCACTATGCTTTCTTGTATAACATTCTAGAGCACATTTTTCAAGAAACGCGTGCGCGATTCCGTAGGAATTCTTAAATCTTGTGTTACCCCCCAATGATGCTTGCTGCCTCCAGTGCTCGATATATTGCAAACCGAGGTCGAAATGATTTCCTTTGGTGCAAGCTGATAAGCACTCGTCGAAAAAGTATCCCTTGTTATAAACTTCAGCTGCAGTTGCGTAACTTCCGGCCAAAGAGAAACACTCTCCAGCTTTTCTCTGCTCAGAGATACCGCACTTCTCCAAATAAATCCGCCCTGCACAAGGAGACGAATTTAAATTTAAGAACAACATTTTAATATGCAATGCTGACCGTAAATCAATTATATATGTACATACCTGCTCTTTCATATTCGTTTAAGTCGCAAAAACATTCAGCTGCTGTATCGGATCTGCCGATGGAATCAAATATTTCTGCAGCCTCTCTAAGCATTACACGCGCCTCTTTAGGGTTCGAACCACGTAGAGAATCAGCTGCATCTCTAAGACCAGACGCCTTCGCTCTCTTCTCCCATGTTTCTTCTCCGGCTTTCTCGAAGCACAAAGTCGCCATCTCGTAGTTCTTCTCCCAAAATAGCTGCAATTAATTACTCAACAAATTCAATCAGAACCAAATATTGCAAGAAATTCTGAAAAAAAAAACAAAAAAAAAGACGATTAAAAACCTTGATTCCTTGCGATTTCCACTCCTCGGGGCTGCTTGCTCTTTGCATAGCTAATGCAAGAGAATCGTCTATTTTCCGCACTTGGACAAGGCACAACCTTCTCCAATAGTCGAGTATCGGCTTCGACAGCTCTTCATCGTTTTCGCATATCCACAATCTTTGCCTTGTTCGAGTGATCGCCACATATAGCTGCTTCAGTTCAGAGCAAAGGATATTGTGTCTTGACTCGCTAAAACTCGGAAACGTCTTGGGCGTGTTGTCGTCGACAAGATCTTTATCTTTCAAGTATTCGTACAAAACCCTCCATTGATCACTCATAGGTGATGAACTGAAGAAGTTGTACAACAGAACATCCTACATATTATACAAAAAAACATTCATAGTTTAATTGTTACACTATATAATGGTAAAAAGAATGAATATATATATATATATATATATATATATATATATATATATATATATATATATATACAAAAAAAAAAAAAAAAAAATTGACCTGAAACTCGAGTCCCTTGCACTCAACTATAGTGAGAACAAGAGCTTGATTGCCTATAAAGTTGGAAATTTCGGTTCTTGCAAATTCGTCACGTACGAGAATAACCTGGTCAGCACCAAACCCCACCCATTTTTTGGCAGCATTTCCACTATGACCAAAAATACTCATAATCAAGTTCTCATCACTACCGGGTTCTAGTACAATCGGTGACTCGCCATATACGAGACTAGTCTCTGGAGGCAATACATCAATTGATTGTGGGAAGAAATGGCAAATGAGATCTACGACACTTTGCGCTAACCTAAGTACACCGGTATGAGTACGGAAATTCTGCGACAAACAAAACGTTTCCGAGACAACCCCTTTCTCTCTTCTTACTGAACCCTCGTCGCAGTTTCTGGATTTCATAATAAATTCATTATAGAATAAGGATCTAATGTCTTCAAATCTAAAGTCGATCCCTCTTGCAATCGTTTGCGCCGTATCGCCAGAAAATACAAATCCTCTGTCGACGTTCTTGCAAATAAATCTGAAAAGTGAAATTTGCCTCGTGGTAAGGTCTTGCACTTCATCAATGTACACAAACTCCATTTTATCACCCATTAAATCCCCGTTCTTGAGCCGTAGATGAATGTCGATCACGAAATCGGCAAGATCGAATTCACGACGCTTCAATTTCATTTTTTCGTAGTGCTCGAAAACATCGTAAACTGCATCCCTTTTCTCTGCACTTAAAGTGGAAACTCTACTGCCGGATAAGGAAACGTAGCCTTCCCTGCTTAGCTTGGCTTCGCCCGATTCCCCTTCTTTTAGACCTCCTTTTATATGCGACATAATTTCGGTGAACACTCTTGAGGGATCAAGAACTTTTGTAAGCTTTGCATTGAAATGAGGCCAATATAAGGACCGAAAACGGTCATAGGTAACCTCGTTTCTCCTTATGAAATTTTGCAGCGCAATAGATCTTCTTCCTTGGTACTGTTGTGAGGAGCCTCTTACATCGCGAAATCTCTCAAAATAAGAATTACCCAAAGTACCATCGAGCATCATTAGAAACTTATGAAATGTGATAATTAGAGGATACTTTTCTGGTTCGATGCCAATAAATGTGTCCGGGATATCCCTGAATTCAGCCATTTCGTCTAAATCATCCGTATCCATAGAGCTGTTATTCCCGGAGAAGTTTTCACTAGCGAAGCTGTACATGCAAGAATAAAATAGGCAATATAATTTGAATTATGCAACAAGCATGCGTTAAAGAATTGGAGCTAGAAACGCACCTCTTTAGCTGCGTTACGTGCTTTTTGACAGCATAACAGAGTTTTGGGCTAACGGTAACAAAAAGCTGGTGCAGAACAGGCGCATCATCGCCAGCTGTCGTTGAATCCCGTGTGGCAATAGAGTGCTGCTGAAGCTTCTGGTACAACTTCATAGTCAAAATGGTTGTCTTTCCAGTACCAGATCGACCTAGTACAAAGCTGCTCCTCGGAAACATTATTATCCCACGCTCTTCATCGGTAACCTCAAACGGAAGATCCACTTCTCTACCCTCCATATCAGTAAGCAAATGATTAACCACACCGCTCGACAGTGAATAAAATTTCATCACGAGTAAGCTTTCGTTGACTTTGGCATTCTCCACATGACTTTTGCAGTCAACACCACCCGTGCTGAACCGGGTTATGTTATTATTACCAACTTCCCAACTCTTTGGTACCTCCAAATTTCTGAACACAATCCAATTCATACAGTTAATACAAACTAAAACGAAATACGAAAAAAAAAAAAAAAAAAAAAAAAAGTCGGTCAATGGTTTAAATTGGGTGTATGTAAAAAGACATCATTATTGGATCAAACAAATTAAAGTACTACAGTAGAACCTCGATTAAATAGTAGTTTCTCTCGGTCCGGACTCGGTGAAAACATGTTAAATTATTAACTAGATAATTTAATAATTCGCTAAATTAATAGAATTTCCCCAGTCCCGACTGTATTAATTCATAGAGGTTTAACTGTACAACCGAAATGACATACCCCTCGTACAACTTGTCATTGCAGCGGTTGATAAAATCATCCGTATACATTGCAAATATGCCGTCGAGTCGTTTCAACAGTTTCGCAGTATCCGTCATAGGCAGTACATCCCACACTTTTAAAATTTGTACGTAAACAGGGTTCTCAGTTAAGTCAACGGGATCCTTGACTAAGTCGGTGGAGCAGACAACATAGTATCTCGCAACTTTGATTTGCTTCACGATGTACGAAGAGCTCTCGCATTTATACTCCACGTTTATATTCTTCGGCCTCCAACCACTTGCAAGCTTAAGTAGTACAGTTATGACCAGCTTCTTGTCCTTGTCATTCTCGGATTTCAATTTCTGAAACGACTTTCGGAAGTCTTCACTGAATACAACCTGAAAAATGTGCACAAACCGTAACTTCAAACGCAAAACACTACATACATAAAACAACCGGTGGTCAAGTTTGACCTTGTTTTCTAGATTAATACAAATATAGAAATAAAATAGAGATGAATGTATTTCTATGATGCACGGAAACTTCAACCCACACATGGAACGAAAACCGAAACTCCATGACACATGTCGGAAACGTTTCGGGCTCGTTTCTATGAACATTTAAAAGTTTTGGGGACGTCTCTGATAACAATGAAAAATTGGAAACACGTTTCCACACAAAATAAATCCAAATTTCATTTTACATAAAAACTCCGAATTGCATACGCTTAAAAAAATCTTAAATATTATGCCTCTTTTTCACTTCTAGTGGTGCTTTAATATTTTTGTAGATGTTAATTCCATACTAAAATAAATTTATATGCCCCAAATGTAATTTGTGTAATGAAATTAAACATTATAATATTTTTTAGAAATTATGAATGCACCCCTATATTTTTATTATTTACGCGTTCCCGTATCCAACTTTTTGGAATACGGAGTTTCCCCGTGTCCGTTTCTCTATTTCCCTGTATCCGCGTTCCCGTGTCCGTGCTACATATATGTATTTACTAAGCAAAATTCTTAAAATGTGGAAAAAAAAATATAGTTTTGTTCGTTACACATGAGTAAGTGGTAGAAATAGGCTCCAAGAATCGACATATAAAATTATTGTTCGATAAAACATAAGAAAAAAAAAAAAAAAAAAAAAAAAAAGAAGAAAAGCAAGTACCTTCCATCTTGAATTTTTGAAAAGTATACTCTCGCCATTGAGAAGGTCGTCGAGTTGATGCAAGTCTTTCATGACGTCTATAATAGCTTTTTGAACGTCACAATCTTCATCGGCAGTGAAGAAACAACCGCGTTGCTTAGCATCGGATATTAGTTCTTTCCAAACTGAATCACTTTTACTCAAAGTTCTTTCATTTCCTAGTATCCAGAGACAATGACTAGCCACCAAAGAAAAATAATTACGTAAAAATAACAATGGCCATTATCGAACAAAAAATAAATAAAATGAAAAAAGTTCCAAGTAAAAAGAATAATAATAATTTGATAGCATACCGAGCTCTTGTCAAAGCTACATTGGTTCTTTGAGGACTGGACAAGAAATCAACGGAACCACGAGACCTTACAGTTGATATAATTATTATATCTTCTTCCCCGCCTTGAAAGCCGTCGATTGACTTCACCTTGACCGTAAAATTCTCAAGGCTCTCGTAATTCTGTGGTAGCTTATCTCGAATCGCTGCAACTTGTGCGGCGTACGGGGAAATCAAACCAATGCTCAGTTTCTCTTTTGCGCCACTCCATGCTGTTCGTAAATGAAAACCACGTAGATATGCTCACGGAGGAATAAATATATTCATTTTACGTTAAAAAAAATGTTATTTACAAATATACGAAATTTACGGCGAGAGTTGCGTCATATAGACAATTTCGCATATATATACCTTTGTAGAGTTTCTTCAGTAGCATCATTCCGACTGCCACCTCAACCATGTTTCTTCTACTATGCCCGAAATCATCAAATTCTTCGTTGTTCCCAGGAATATCTATAAACGAATAAGGACCAAACATCCTCCCTTGAATATAGCATGTTTCATAGCTTCTGCTCCGCACAATTGGCGCATCTAATATCTTATTGTGATAGAAATTCGAATTCGGAAACCGACTTATCGATGGATGCATTCGGTATTGCACATCGAGCAGATGCTTAGAGTGACCCAACGAGCTCAATCTTTCAAACATACTTCTCCCAAATCCAGCTTCTTCCGATATCTGCGCGAATACCACAAAAATATATCGATCAGCCGTTGTATTATAATTAATAATTAATAATCAATATAATGAAATTAGTTAATCAAATATTTTATTTATTTACCTTGCTCTTAACTGTGGCTGGTAATTGGCATTCGTCGCCGACCAGAACCGCATGCGTGACGTTCGGGATCTGAAGGGCTATAATCGATTCACACTCCTTTACTTGAGCAGCTTCATCAATCACCAACATTTTAAACGGCTTCGTATCGATTGTGTGCAGCTTATATGCCGATGAAGTCGTGCAAAATATTAAAGTAGCGTTTTCGAAACAGAAGTCTTCGGTAGAGGTTGCGTTAGTGACGCTCGGAAGGTGCAGTTTATCTAGGGAGGCCTGAAGTGATGTCAGAATATTCCGACATTTGCTTCTCATATATATTAAGGACGATGTATCGACACAAATATTAGTTCCCTCGTGTATTGAAAAGATTCTCTCGAGTTCTTCGGATGTCAAGCTCTTGTCTTCAAACAACAACGTCTCGATCGAATCGAGAAGAGACGTAAGTTGTATCATGCTTCGAAATATCTGCTCGTGAATGAACCTTGTTGGTAAATGAGTGATTAGTGTCGACATGCAATCTCTCACTGGCGTTGCTAAATGCGCGAATCGGTCTCTAGCAAACTCCAAAAGTGATTTCGACTCGGTTAAGCGCTTATTATTATTAGCTTCTTCATTCTCGAGACTCTTTTTTGCTTCGATTAGCTCGTTGTCCTCCACAAAGATTCGATGCTGGGGAACGCAATCTTCGAGGAAATCGCGCATGGATGCGAAACAGTTCTTCCAACCAGTTCTTGATAATAAGCAATGTACAAGCTTGTCGACACGATAATCCAAGTAGATTTCCTCGGTATCCGAGCCAACTTTAAGACGATCCTTGTTACCAAACATGAGCATCTCCCCTAAAGGACAAGACAAACAATGGTTCTTCTCGGATGAATTTGATCTCACGAGTGCTATCACACGAGAGGCGAGTTCTTTAATTGCAATATTTGTCGGGGCACAAATGAGTGTCCTCACATTCATTTTTAAGAGGACGTATAACAAACTGCTCAACGTTGCCGTTTTTCCAGTCCCGGGTGGGCCCCATATGAGTTCAACGGACGACTTGTGATTGCACTCGATTTTGGATAGACAGGCCGTAATTGCCTCGAGCTGCGATTCGTTTAACTTGGACGATAAAGCAGACCCAAGTTTCTCCTCCGTCTCGTTGTTGTATTTGAGAGGGCAAAACTCACAAGTTTCCACTTCCTGTTAAAAATGAAGACGAGAGATTTCATGAAAGAGAACAACCGAAGAAAATATATTATTATTCGAAAAAATTAACAGCATCGATCTATAAGTAGAAAATGATTGTGATAAAGGGGTAGATACGAATGGTGAGGGCGGAAAAATTACAATCAAGTACGTACCAAGTGATTCGCGGTTAATGATTTCTGAATAATGTTCAAATTGTGACGCGTTCTTAACGCGTTCCATATTCTTTTGTGCGGAATAATGCTCATCAAGTAAACCACATACAGTGACTTTCTCGAACGGCCATTTCCAACTTCAACGTTCTTAGCTGTTTTGAGTTTGAAATTGGAGGATGTACAGCTGTCAACTTCTCTCTCGCCATCCTTTATATTTCGTACAAATGCAAAAACATACGTCCCGCCACTTTGTAGTGGGCGGGAAATAGTTTCGGGTTTTGAATCCGAAAGAAGAACAACATCACCAGGCAAGATTTTGTGCCCAAAGTAATCACCGACTACGTTTCTCCATTGATCAACCTTAACATCGTACACGGATTCTTCATTTATTAGCTCACTGAAAGATGCCACCTCAGCAAAAGGTGCTTCGTGTATGGTTTCCATTGCGGAAGCAAGTTCGGCACGTGTTTCTTCTAATAAGGGGAAGATATAAGAGCCAAGATACTGATCCACAGACTCAAATGACTTGGGAATCTTATCCACCTGCATGCAAGAGCAAATTATTAAAATTAACACATACAAATTTATTATTTAATATGTGTATTATTCAAGAAAAAATGCCAATTATTATATATATATATATATGTATTGATATATATATATATTTTCTCGTGACCTTAAGTCCTTAATTAAACTAAGTTCTTCCGTCTTTCCATATTTATTTTTCTCAATTGTTTTGAACCATTAGAGCAAGCAATATGTTATTTTAGCTTAAATAATTCATTTAAATCTATAAATTACTTATAATGACATTAAATCTATAAATAGCTAAAAAATCAATAATTAAATTATAATGACATACCAATTAATAACTGAAATCAATAACTAAACCCAATTAATTATATTTGGCTGCACCTGTTCTAATCTACACAATGGGCTATATATATTCAATGTGAACACTACAGGCAACCAATAACTATATATATAATATATACATACATATATATAATTGGAAAATTAAAGACCTGGTATTTGTACAGATTATCATTAAAGATATCTTGAAGAGACCACGAAAGCACCAAATCAGCGAACTCGTCTTTCGGCGACGATCTTTTGCCGGTACCGGTACCGGAACGATTCCCCTCCATTGAAACAACTTCAAAGAGTCTCTATGTATATATACACATATACATATATATATATACTGCCACGCACTGCCAGATAATTATTTTCTTCAACTGATCTCCTCGCTAGCTATATATATTTTCAACAGAAACCCTGCAAAAACAAAGACTCGCGCGCAGAGATGAATATCAGCAATAAATTGTTGCATGCATGAAAAAAGATCAGCTGGAAGAAAAACACCCCATACATATATGTGTGTGTACAGAAAAAAAAATAGGGTTTTAATTCCCTAAATAGGGTTTTAATTCCGTTGAGAGATTTATAAATTAAAGAAAATACGAATAAAATGTGACCAAGATTCTTCCGTACAATAAATACTTGTGAAAACACAGTACCCCAGCATGCACTACCAGTAGTTGCTTAAAGGGATTTACAGGCAAGAGGTAAAAGAAGAACTGGGTAAATGAAAGGAAACTGAATCGTCTTCGGTTCATAAAGCAAAAAAGGGCTTTGGCAATTAGCGGTGTCTTTCCATTTTCCCATTCTTAGCTGACTTGTGGTCTTCTTTTAATTTCTTTTTTATTATTATTATTATTATTATTATTATTTTTTCTTGGTGTGTGTGATTTAGTAGAGTTTTCTTACGTTTAGTAAAGAAATCTTATGATACTCGAGAGATCGTATCACGCAACTATGGAAAATATTTGGAACTAACCATCAAGGAAATTACATTCTGATTCATATTCCCTCCATTTTGATATTAATTTGGGATACTCATTGGCTATTTTGAAATACCTGAAATGTCCTTTTAAATCAGTTTTAAATTTTACTTAACCCACATTTATTTATTTCTTTCTTTTTCAACTCACAATTTTAGATCCAAATCGCCACCCCCATAGGTTTCCAACCGGTGATCGGAATTCGATGGTTTAACAATCGTTAGATTATCACGTCGAGCTTTTTTTTTTCTTTTTTTCTTTTTTGGGGGGGATTTCATACAGTTTGGATCTCTACATCTGTTTGTTGCAATCGTTTTACAGTCGGCGCATATTTCGACGACGGTGGATCTTGCTGGAGGTGTAATTAATGCTCAGACCACCGGAATTTAACGAGTTGGGCTACCCACCGTTGGATTCCTCTCGTCGAGATCTACATTCTGATGGCAATTTCATTCAATTTTTTATTGTCAGATTTATTTCTATATTTTTTTTCATTGCGTGCGCAAAACCTTGGGTGGCTAGCGGCGGCTAGGGTTTTGGTAGGAGACACTTGTGGTGAGCAGCCATTGGTAGTTTGGTCTAAAATTCGCAGTATTTTGCAGCTATGACCTCTCTCTCTGTCTCTCGATCTCTAATGTTCGTTGATTTTTTTTTGTGTTTTGATGTTTCTTCATTTTTTGTTAATTTGTAATTTTTTTTTTGTTTTGATTTTGCAATTGCAGCTTAATGGAAGCCATTGATCATCTCCTCGAAGGTGTCAAAAAATTTGGTTGAAGATGTATACGAATTTGATGATTTTGACATCTGCTTCAAATTACAGTGTTCTACAGACTGTGTACATTACTACACATTACTATACATTATTAGTAACATATAGTAACATGTAGTAACATGTAGTAACATATGCATGTAATTGTGTATTTCAACTTGTATTTGTTTGTTATGAGTGGACAAAGTTGGAGAAGTCGAACATTCGATAAGAAAAGACTGCACAGTAAAGAAACTTCCAAAAATTACAAGGAAACTGCATTTTCCCCAATTTTTTCCACCTTATAAAAAACTAACCCAAGCACACAGTTATGAGTCATCTTTTTATACAAAATTCAAGGCAATGAAGCAATAACGAAAATGAAGACTTTGAAGATTCAATCATAATTTTATCTTCCATGATTTATTTTTATTTAGCTTTTAATTTAATCATGAGTAGCTAAACTCTTTAATTCTAAGATTTTATTTTGAACTCTATGTGGGATTTACGAACCATTTTTTCGTGATTTTATGCAAGTTTTAATTCCGAATGATTTATTCTACTTGTTTTATTAAGTGCATGAAACTGGCCGATTTATGTGCTTTTCTGTTATTGTTAATCGCATTAATCGGAAGATCGGGTTAATAATTAGAACTTGGGTAGAAGAGCTTTTGTAGTATTAACATGGGAATATAGTTAAACTCTTAGGTAGCTATTATTGACATTTGTGCTTCATGTTGTGTTCTAGAATTAATTGCGTACAATATTTAAATCTAGAGTATTAGAATCGTAATACACGCGGAAGCGAGTTGTGATTAATTTAGCATCTCAGGTTAGTACGTAATCCGATTTAATAACTTGCATAATTGAAGGAATTGGGGAATTAATAATCACATAGGGGGAGAATAAAATCATAGGCTTGTTCACTTTGATAAATCGTCGTGTTTAATTGTTTTCTTGCTCTTGCTTGTTTAATTTGCTTTAATTTAATTTAGTTTGATTTAAAATTATTAGTCAACTTTCGACTGTGTAGGGTGGGCTTGAGCATAATTGGTAGAATTTAGCGTCTACGATTAGATAATTAAATATTTTCTGTGGGATCGATATTCTGACTTAATTGTACACTATATTATTTGTTCGGCACGTGCACTTGCATGTAAGTATTTCCACCAACAACAGATTAGGATTTTTAGCAACAAAATTTGATCTCCTTTTCTTTTTCGTTTGGTTTGAAATCTCATCTTATCTAAACCAATTATAAAAAATTATGTACATACTTCCATAGATATGGATTTGGAATCAAATTTGCATCACTAAACTCTTGTGATTTAAAATCTTTAAATTGAATTGATCGAAATCGTAACTCCATAAAATGACGCAATTTCTTGCTATTTTCTATTGGTGCTCGATAAAGCTTGTCAGAATGTTTTATCGTAAATGGATACATGACTAATCATTTTTAATATTTCTCACATCTCTTCACCTTTAATAGTGAGATAAAAATTGTTATAATTAATAAGCACATGATATCTACTTATCACAAGATATCTCTTCAAATACTAAAGAATGTTGTATTCACTTCGAGGAATAACAAAAGTTGAATGAGTGCTGCAATATTTTAATCTAGCTCACAACTCATATTATAGTGCAATATGCTATCAATTTCTTTATTTTACTATTACGAATGCAACTTTGAGTTTTAATGGTTGGCATTTCGCATATCATAATATAGATTCAAAATATTGCTACTACAGTAGCATTTCAAATCCCAAACTTAGAGAATATTTTCTCTTATATACCACCATAAGTAACTTTATTTTATGTTATTTTTACTTATGTACAAGATACATACCCCAAATTATTTACTTGTTTCTTGATAATGAAACAATTCTCGGTGTCTTCTAGAAATATTTTCATTATGAAATATTTGGATTGTATTTTCAAGACGTATAGATGGATCTTCAAATTCAATGATCCATATATAACTTATAGTGCCGTTTCTTCTTGATCTATCGAATATATATAATTTCAAACTTTGTGATATTTCTCATATCATTGAATCAAAAAGTAAATAGTTCATTCGAGTACTTATATGCTACTCATATATCAAGGTTTGAGTTTTATACATTGAATTTATGTACTCGATTTAGGCCTTAAGCCTTTATAATTGGTACTTAATCATGAAACAAATTATTATACCATATATAAATGGGAATACTTAGTAACTCAAATTTCAAGAGTCTTATCATTTGAACTTAATGTCTAATATATTCAATCGAGATTTCTAATCTCGTATTTAATCTCGGCTCTAGGCCTATAATCATCCATTTTCCTTTTAAAACGTCATGTTCATCTTAAAATTCGCACAAGGGACAACTCTGGTAGGGCTGAGTATTAAGCATATCTATCTCGATTGAGATCCTATTTTGATGATTCAAAATGTTAGGAACAACCAATAGAAAGAGCCTTAACTTTTGTGCTTTACACTTTCTCAAATTCGGACATTATCAGGTCCGAAACAGAACTCAAAGTCGACATCGTGAATTGTGCGAAACAACAAAAATAGAATTATTAATTTCTGGTCACTAAAAAATTAATAAAATATTTAAATCAACTCCCTTTTCATCTTCTATGGCTAAGAAGTTATCTTCTTTGGATCATCTTTCTTCGGAAATTAAAGTAGAACAATCGTGATGATGATATGTTGAGATAACAACATAGAGAGAACAAGTATACTATTCTATTGTTCTTCTTATGTATACAAAGAACATTACATAGTGCTATATATAGCACAAGAAAAAACATGAAAGGTCATGAATAATGAGGATAGAAAAATGGTGGTTCATGGGGTGAATAATGGTGGTCATCCACACTTTTAAGAATTCTAATGATTAGTAATTAGTTCAAAATATTTTTGAAACTAGGAGTAGGGATGGCAACGGGTCGGTTCTGGGCCGGGTTTGCCTAAATCCTAGATCCAACCTGTGAAAAATATATAAAACCCAGATCCGCCCCAACCCGGTTCAGTTTAGATCCAGACCCGCCCCAACCCATATCCGAATTAAACGGTTCTGGCCTACCATACCCGCTAGACCCGTGAACATTAAAAAAAATTATTATTTTTTAACTTTCATAATATTTTACTTTTATATTTTAACAAAATAATCTAAACATTAAAATACAATATTTTAAAATACTTCTACAAGTGATATAAAGTGAATAATAAAATTATATAATTAATTATATTTAACTTCTACGATAAATAAAGTTCCAAAGTCAAGACGACTAGCGGTGGTCGACAAGTGATACATTTTATTTAGGAGAAATGAGATTCAAAAAAATTAAATAGTGAAAAATGGGTAAATGAGAATAGACACAATGAAAATTGAAAGTTTGATAAATGAAATCATATATTAATTTTTATATATAGATTAATTATAAAATATAATATATATATACGGGTCAGTTCTGAATCGGTTACAATAAGACACGTGACCCGACCCATAACCATCCGGTTCAATAAACTTAAACCCATTACCCGACCCAAAACCATTAAACTTACCATCATCCCCCAAACGGATTGGTTCCAGGTCTAAGACACGGCAAACCCATACCGATTGTCAATCCCTAATTAGGAGATATAGCAAATTTTAGCAAAATATTTTAACCTAAAGCATTACCTCCCCACAATCTCCGGTGAAAACGTTGTCCATTCTAATTCTTCTTTTATTTTTCTTTTTCTTTTTCATTTTTTCTTACTATTGAAATAAATTTGTTATTTATGAATTATTCTTATTATTATTATTATTATTATTATTATTATTATTATTATTATTATTATTATTATTATTATTATTATTATTATTATTATTATTATTATTATTATTATTATTGATGAAAAAATAGAACTATTTTATAATGAGTTAATCACTTTTAAAGATCGAGTCGAGCTCGAGCTCACCGAAGCTCATGCGAGTTTCGAGCTCGAGCCAGAAAATCTCAAGTAGTCGAGCTCAAGCTCGAGACAAAGTACTCGAGCTCGGCTCGAGCCTTTCCAAAATTAAATTTGCCCCCTTAGATAAAATCTTGGCTCCACAACTAGTACAAATAAATAATTTTGTTTCCATATCCGTAGAATAATGACCTATAAACTTACACAAGTCGAAAACTAATAATACTGTAAGCACAAGTTTTCACTTGCTCTCTTCATAAATATATATATATATAATCCATAACACTTAACTGAAAGTACGTATATAAACTATATTATATATTTATATATGTAGTACTCAAAACTGAACCAGCCTGGATCCACAGTTAAAACTAATATCGCACAGACCACCCACATCGACGCCGTAATTATGGTGAGGCCTCGTCAGAAACGGCGGCAAGTACAGCAGCAGCTTACAAACGCACACGCTGTCGATATTCTTCAACCACCTGCAGCACTCCTCTTCCTCCGGCGTCTGTTGCCTTGCCCCGCCGTGCCTGTGGTGGTGGTGGTGTCTGCCTCCGCCTCCGCCTCCGCCTCCGCCTCCTCCGGCGTCTGCGCCTGGGGGAGGCGGTGGGGACGGGGACGTCGGCAGCGAAGGAGAGCTCGGTAGAGGCACCAACGTGTAGGGCAGCGCTGCGCACGCGCGATTGGCGAGCGCGAACTGCGTGGTGCAAAGTGGCTGGGGAGTCACCGGCGGCCGGCGCGGGAACCATTGGCTTTTCGCCGACTTTGTGTGGAGGGAGAGAAGCATAATAGTTGCGGCGGCGAGTAGTTTCAATTTCATGATTGGTTTATCCATTTCTTCGATCAATAATGAAAATAATGATATGGAGAGTGATTGGAATATGTGGTTCACTGCGGCTACTTATATTAATGAATTGATTTATATTATATTGTTGGTTTCGTGTGATTTTCGTGCTTGTTCAATTAGGTTTGGTTTAGTTTGAGTACGTACAGCCCGTTTGTGATGATGATTTGGTTATTGGCTAATGGGGTCGGAATAGAATATTTAGGAATGCTTCATTCAGTTTGTGTGAAAATCTTAGGTATATTCTGTAGGTTATAAAAAGGTTGTTCAGATACGTGATTTTTAATTATTGATGTGGTTAAATAATTTAACATGAGTATGAGCACTGGTGAGGATAGAATTTTTTGTAAGGATGGACTTAAACATATTGGGGGTTTACGGGCAGTTCCTCTGGAAAAAAATTGCTATGAAAATTTTGCTTCCTTTCACTTTCAGAAGATAATGCAAAAGCGAATCATAAAAGCTAAATTACATTGTTATGAAAATCCAAGAAACATGAATATCATGTTGATTATCAAAATTACACATCGCCGGTGCGTGTCTGATTGTCGGTGGATGGCAATTTCCAGCAAGCAACGGTTGTAGACTATGCGAGAGAATAAAAACACAACAATTTTGTTTTTTGTTTTTTTTTTCTTTTTCAAGAAACGAGAACGAAATGGGAAAATAACACCCGATATATTTCATCGACGGTATCAAATAAACTTTATAAAAATTGGGAAACTAGTTAAACCCTACGTAGGCAATGTGGACACACGACACGTGAAAACGATCAACACCGGGAAATCCTGATATGTAGAAAAGTTAGAAATGGGAACACAGGGGAAAAGAGTAAAATATTAAAATTGAGGAGTATTTATTAAATATATATTAATAGTTTTTTCTTAGGAATATATATTAATGAATTACGAAATTACATTATAAATATGGAGGCTATAGGTCCTTGACAAACACGTCTTTATATATAAGAATAAGAAATACTAGAACAACCTAAGGTCATCTTCAATGGAATACGAAAAACGAGTCTCTTGGAGCATCTCCAACCGGTTTCACCATTTTTTCACCAAATCCTATTTATGGTGGTGAAAAAATGGGTTCATCTCCCACCGGTAGCACACCATTTTACTTTTCCACCATTTTTAGTGGAAAAATGGTGGTTTTGGTCTCCAATGGGTATCACCAAAATTTAGACCAAATATTAAAATAATAATATTTCACCATTTCACCACTTATAGGAAATGGAATTTGGTTTGGTCTCTAATAACATTTCACCATATATACCCCAAAACTATAAATCTAATGTTAATCGTAATTTTATAAAGAGTAAAAAGCAGTTTGCCCCCTAAACTATGTACGGATTTGCACTTTACCCCCCAAACAAAAAAAATTTGCACGTTTTTACCTGAACTAGTCAATTCGTTACACGGTGCCCCCTAAACTCAATTTTCCGGCAATTTTAACCGGAATGTTGAAACATGTGCTTTGCACGTGAGATTTTAGGGGTAAATTCGTCCATTACTGCATCTTTAATATTAAATACAAATAAATATTAAAAAATAAATAAATAAAAAATAATAAAAAAAAAAAAAAGGAAAAAAGGAAAAAGAAGATATTTATTGAAATGTTCAGACAACTTTCTTCCTCACTTGGTGTTTCTTCCAAGTGGCACCGGAAACTCGTCTCCGTTTCTCCGACTTGCCGCCACAATGGCATCGCGTAATTGCAGAGTTACGTTCATCAGCATTCAAATTCAAGCCCCTTCTTTTGAATTCAAAACTTTTTTAGCTAATACCCACAAATAAATCTACCCAATCTTGAAATTATAAACTCGAATTCTCCATTACACTCCAACAATATTCCAGCTAAGGTTGTTCGAACAACTTGCAAATCCAAAATTAAAAAACCTAAAAACCCAATCCATCCTGCACAAAAGAAAATCCCGAACACTAACTTAAAAAAATTCCAAAATTCTTCGAAGGGGGCGATTACGAGGGATGGGTTCATAAACGGGATCCACATTAAGAACATGGGTTCCCGGATCATTAGCACTGGATGAATCAAATGGGTCGTATGTCAAACGGATTTTACGGCAAATGGGCGGTGGGATTTTTTCCTGGGCCGCAGCAGCTCCAACGGCGAAAA